CCATTGAAGAAGTCCTTGGCAAACTGCGCAACACGAGATATCAGATCCAGAGCGCCACGTTGATTGTCTCCAAGACAATATTCAATCTTGACGAACAGCTGGGTATGTGTTGACAATGCATGATTCAACCCGAAATTAAAGCAATAAATTAGTGTTGACAATGCATAGACAAAGGCAGCGAGGATAATGATAACAACATCAACCGGATAATGATATCATTGGGACACAAGATCAAGCGGTTGTGTCCCAATCATGTCCCAATAATGAGTTGCTTGAAAAGTAAATTAATAATTATCCTAATCAAAAAATAAAGCAGTAAAACCTTGAAAACATCGATAATACTGTGTGCTATATTTTGTGGCATATGGTAGCTCTCAACTTATTTTTATTTCTAATCACGACATTTATGATTGAATCAACAATTCGGTCATTATTCATCGAATTAACTTATAATTTACTATTTTCTTCTCACCTTTCATAATTTTAGACTGATTACTTCTTTTTTAACATAGCTCAAGATATTGATAACGCACAAATTTCATTCGCGGTATATACATGGAATAAATTACCTTACTTTATCCTGAGTTAACAAACTGCATGGAGCCTTGGTTAATTCGCGTGGGTCCGCATTGTTTTTTTTTTTTTTTTTTTGCCTCAATAGATTATCATAGCGGAGCAAATAAATTTATTGGAACAAGTTCTTTTAACGTTCATCTGGCTCTCTGAATAACAACGAAATTTTAACTACGGTAATTTTAACCTATTATATCATAAGGAATTCCTAAAGAAAGAATCGATCTGTACTAAAACATTTCACCGAGTAGTGCCCGGCTTCGTTGCAGAATCACCGTAATTTAAAAAAAAATCTTGAAGAAAGACTTGCTCCTCTAACAAAATTATGATTCAATGTACTGTTCTGCCAGAAAGGGACAATTTCATGCATATGTATACGCATGTTTTACCTTTAAGCTTATGTTCAGAATCCCTCTCGTGCATCACACTTCAAAATTGACAATCGAAATAACTTTCCTTTAGCTCGGCAATCTCTTCAATAAAAAAAAATTCAGACATGCCATTGCAATCTGAAACGCTGCAATCAATGGAAAGAAAAATACTGCACATAAATATTCGTTTCAACAATCGGAAGCCGCTGCATCTACAAGGATATCATTCGTCATAAGTCACAAAGCTCGTGCAGGAGATGCAGACTATTAAACTCAGACCACAATTCGCTTGTTTGAAGGGAGGTTTATGTATTGTGCAGCTTCCCCTTCTTTTAAGCGTGTATATTTAAGAGGGTGTGGTCAGCACCAAAATATTCTTCTGCCTCCCACAGCGAAGCAGGAAAATGCGTCATGGATGTGGTTTTTCAAAACTCCTGGCGCTGGGTTGGTTACATTGCAAGGATATTCCGAAACATTTACTCTTTAATGTTTGTATGGAGCACCTTGCAGTTTTGCCTGAATATTTTGAACGGAGAACATAATTAAATTTTATTGTCTTTTTGAAGTGTGCGGAAAGTTAAAAATTAAGCATTGAAGACTTAAGAATTGAATTCTTATGACAACAAATACACTGACATTATATCCTGGATATTTATATCTATTATAAATATCCTGTTATGATATTTGATAACAATTTCTAATCTTCTCACGCATTGTTTGGGACTGTTGACTAAACCAATGTTACTTTATTATTTTTAAACAATCTATAATCGATGCCGGGACATGATTATCAGGCGAGGCAAACACTACATTATCATTAACTTTCGTCAGAATTCCTTACAGCAACGTCGCTTACCCATTCGGTTTTCGTTAATTTTTCGGTAAGTAAATTTTTTTTTGCCTGAAGCTAATAATGAGAAATAATCAAATTAGCTAATTATTTTCAAGCACATATGTTGCAATGGAGCGTTTATCTACAAGCATCGAATTATAGCCCCGTGGAGTTCACTTCAGTCCTTTGCCGCTTTGTTACTTTAATACTAAGATATCAATGTGTGAATAGTAAACATGTATCATATCTTTAATTTCTCACGCACTTAATTATAATCTACATGCAAAATTATTTCATTAAGTAAAAACTTATTTCTCATGAGAAAATGCAGCGAAAAACCAAATTTTTAAACATGTGACTATCTTGTAGCTGCTTTTTTTTCTTTGTATTGTATTAACCATGAAGTTGTACATCAAAAATCCTAGCCACTTACCGTCAAAATTATTACATCAAACTGTATGGCATGAAGGCATCTTAAGACATTCAAACAATGGTGGTATTATTATTATTCATCTGAAGGAATAATATCTTTCATAATTATCGCGATTTAAAAATTATATTCGGACATAACAACATTAATTTGCAAAAAGAATCAATGATACCAAAATATTGTACTGAAGTCATTTCAAAATAATTTATTTAAGTATTTTCATATATTTATTTTTACGATCATGAATTGTGTTTAGTCTGTTTACTCGAAATTTGAAATCCCAACAAAGTGTCATGTTCCTTGAAAGTATTTTGTTGACTCGTTGAATTGAGGGAAGCAGTGCTATAGGAGTCAATAATATAGTGTAGTTGTGTCGGCACTAGAGGCCTCTAGATTTTTGGCCTCTAGATAGCAATTAGAACAGATAGCAGTCAGTCCCAAACCTACTACTCGCAGCCAAAGCTTGGTGATCTTAACCACACGACCACCTAGGTTAAAAATAACGTGATTCTGCTCATCACAAAAATTTCTATTACAAAACATCTTCCGCGTTATAATTTAAATATTCTTTAAATGTGTGGAATAAAATATATGATTCCACGCCCCTATGCTCCCTTGTACTGGTAACTGGTGCTACTACGGCACTCATCAAATTGGCAATTAAATTTGGTTTTCAATTTAGTTTATACCCACTCTGCAACCTGTAAATTAGATAAGGCCGATAAAGTTCAAATGAATCTGATTTTACCAATCCAAATGCTATGAAAATTTGGCGAGCCTTCCCTATAAAATTACTGCAATTTTTCAGTTATTTTTATAATGCGCTGGCTCCACAAAGCAAAATAATGGTGTTTACCGTCTAAAAACTTTTTTTGAAGTCTCGTTTTTTATGATCAATTCTAGGGGTAACCTCTCAGTAATTTCGCAGCTAATAATTTTCGTAGGCAACAGTGCCTTTAGGATAAAAATCCCTAGAAGCATAAATGACTAGACTCTGCACTCTTCCATATTTGGGTAAAAAAAAATTACCCAAATTAAAATTGATGTACTTTTCTACTATTTTGCTCATAATTGTTTAGGATGATCAGTTCTGTAATATTTACTATTATATTTAGGAACACAGTAAGGTTCAAGACATTTCTAGTTTACGTTAGGGTGATTTTCATTCGGCGTCATAATCTGAATCCATTAGCCGGTCAGTTGTGATTGGCCACTCCTACTATGGCCGGGTGCGCCATAGTTCCGGTTGGGGAGACTATCCGGTACACAAGAGTTAAGAGCAAGACTACCAGAGCATTTTTTATCGTAAGTACCCAGTCTTGCCAGTCGCCTGTGCTTCAGCTTCAGTCGTCTGTGATTCTACCGTCGGCTATCTGCTCTACTTCAAAGGCCCTTGCTTTGTTCCTAACTGAAGTATTCGCTCCTACATCGTTGTCTATTTATTTATATTCAATTAAAATTACTGTGTAACCCGTCCAATATTACCCATCGATTCTATTAAATGCCGTTCAGCCTCTCCGATACCCTGACAACCACACAACAATAATTTCATGTTTTAAATATCCTTACTTTCCACTATTCAAATATCCTTGAGAAATAAATCCAAAACAGTAATAGAGTTTCTATACATGGATAACATCAATTGCTTGTGAGTTTGTATATCTGTAACTGTCCAGTCATCGAAATTACTTCTTTTCCCCTTTTTTTAATTATTCAATCAGTATCATATGTAGTTCAGACAAACTATCTTATTTAGACCCCGATAATTATACACAGGTGCATTACATTTCTCGTTCGTAATGCTCAGATTTTCTTATCTATGCCATCTATTGCAGATAGAATGCTGACAAAAAATTTCTGTTCAATTAGTTTTCTATCAACGTTCGAGGGCTGACTGCAAATAAGGGTCGTATGCATGGAAATGTCAAGCCTCTAAGGGGCTCCGATGGACCATTGCAACGCCTCTAACATTTATTAACATGTGCCCAGGTGTCATAGATGACAAAAATAATCATTCATTGGTAACATTTTACCATACGACAATTTTCATAATGAATTTGACCTTTTGGTGCCATTTTTTCATTATTATTTTTTTTTTCGCACGAAGATCAGTCGTTCACGACTGGTTCTTTCCGACAATAAATTCAATTTCAGATTTCAAAATTAGACACATGCTAGCCGCAGATGAGTTAAACCCTCAAGTGCCTGTAACCTCTACATAATTTACCATGTATAAACCTCTACATAATTTACCATTCATAAATTAGTGGAAAAAGCTAGTTATCATTCGCGAATTTGAAACCTGCTCATGAAAAAATAACTGTGTTTTTAACAGCGTTTTTTAGAAGAATATGCCCGAATTTACCGGTAAGTGGTAACCAGCCAGATTGTAGTAACAGGCAGATTAAGCGCCTGTAAGACCAAATTCTTCACTGCTTGATTACGAGTGGCTTCCTATTGGCTCTACATCCTCTGCTCTCCCGATATTCTGATAAGTAATGTACAATGCTATATTGCTGTCATGTACAGTATATTGCTGTGTAAGATTTATTTGAAGTTTCACTTGCAAAGCACTTGTTTGTTGCTATGCAAGATTATTTGTAATTTTACTTGCAAAGCACTTGTATGTTGCTATGCAAGATTATTTGTAATTTTACTTGCAAAGCACTTGTATGTTGCTATGCAAGATTATTTGTAATTTTACTTGCAAAGCACTTGTATGTTGCGTATGGATTCAACGAACGCTACTTATATTCAGGTTATAAAAACTACTTGTGTGAGATTCACATGTATTTTTTTTAAGAATCCATAGTTACAAATGTAGTAAAAAGCTACATAATTCGCTACGTACAGCATAAAACTATAAAAGCTAATAGTTCGTTTTTGATTCCCAGATGTCAAACAACGCATCGAGAAACAATTTTGTTGTAGTTAGCGGTTGCAGAACACCAATTATTTTTAGCCTCACTCCAGAGTTTTTGGGAAAAACATCTGCTTCTTGACTAAAAATTAAGACTAGATATAAATCTCCAAAAGTAGAAAGACTCTAGGTCAACACTATATTAAGGAGATCTGAACTGAAAACCATTCTGGGTTCTATTATAACGAAACTCCGTGACGTTGTATAGATCACCTTGCATGCATCAGGTTTTTGACCACTGAATGTAGCCTTCTGACATGTGAATGCTTTACAGCGTTGTTTCCAATTACTGTTCAATATGAACCACATAAACTAGGCATTTCTGACATACTACGATTGCTGTGAAGCAATCTATACCAAGTTACTGATGTGCAACACCGCAGTGCCATAATATCTCTTAAATAAGTGGCTATAAAAGTAAAACTTAATTTATCGTAGGGGGTTTGATTAATATTATTTCTTTATCACACTGCTGTTAGTGAGCATCGAGGAATAATATAATTTCATCGCAGTATCTAAAAATAAACTATGCAATGAATTTTACTTTCAATAAATTTCTATCAATGTCAATTGCACGAGGGTAATGTATGTATTCTTAAAATTATTCCCAAAGAACTCTTAACACTACTTAAGAAGCACTATGAAGAAAAATAATATATTTATAATTGAGCGACGTCGTACCTTTATGATTTCACAGCACCTATTTATGCGTAAAATGATAAAAATGACTTTCAACATGATAAAATATGTCCTTACTTCTGTACTGCAGAAAATCTACATTTTCATACTCTCCTTTATTATGGGGATTACAGTGCTATGTGATTTTTACTATAATTTCTCAATCCAAATCAATTATCAATTAACTTCATGGATTCCAGAAAATTATAACAGCAACTGCGACTAGGCTTTACACTTTTCAGCATTTGAGCAGCACTTAAACTTTGTTTTCCTTTGATATGCAGAGCACATCTTTTCTTTACGTATATATCATCATTTAACATTTTAAAGTATAGTTTTTTATAGTTTAATAGTTTTAGTTTTATATAGTTTAAAATTTTAAAGTATGAGAATAGAAGCTAGAATACATTTACGACTTCAGGAAGTTTTCTCTCTTAGATATAAATGGCATTTTCATCGGAAGCTATCAAGTTCAGTAATTGATCATTAACTTAGTTAATCTACCATAAACCCTTCGACAGACTGTACAGCCTTTGTATTTCTCGTATACCAGTTTCAAAATTTACAATGCAATAAATGAACTATTACTCAATTATATCATAAAAAAATAAAAAAATTATCGTCTACGCACGATCTTCCAAATTAACAGTTTGTGACTGCAAGGTCACGAGTCATCAACTCAACACTTTTATGCTGAAGGCGAATCGTGAATCTGAGATGTTGGAACCAAATATTGAAAGTTATTATTAATCAACGGTGAGAAGTTTGATGACTGGGTAATAGCACCATCAAAGTATCGAGTGTTTTTTGTAATTTTCAAAAGGACGTCTCATCGCTTAGTTTTGATCGTCTCAAGACGGTCACTTTGCTATTTAATTCAACCACACCTCTCGGAAAGGACTTGGATGTTTATTGTTCAGCATTTTTATGATAGTTGGATAAATCAATAGTTGGATAAATCTGTCAGACAGACAATAAAAATGTGTGAAAACTAAGACTTTTTAAAGAAGGGAACCGAGGCAGCAGCATCATGAGTGAAACCTGTCCCTCCACCGTTATGGAAGCTCAAACGGTCGTCTTCACTGGAATTATCACCTCTCACATTTATGACTTTACAAATAATTCTCAGTGGTAGGCACAAAAAAGAATGAATATCGGAACTAGTAGCAGGAGACACAGGTACACTGCCACTCTGGGCTCACACTCGGCATTCATAACATAGGAGTTATCCCAACTAGAACCTGCGGGAACTTCTACCACCGTTTGTTCATTCGACCAAAAGTCCAGATGTAAGGAGCAGTTCTGTGAATGTGAACAGTTAGCCAAGTTACCAGAAGTGTCGTAGACAACTTTTTCCAACGTCAAGTTGAAGAAAAGGTCGTTGATCACTATTTCGTTGTCGCTGGAGAAGACAAAGTAGTACGTGCCATCTTCAGTAATTTGGTAGGTAACTTTGTTTCTTTCTTGTCGCTCAAAACCTGAACAGTGAGAATCTGGTTGCAGAGGTAATGCCAATATGACCCCGTCGCAAGAAGCCAACGCCTCTTCACTACTCGAATAGGATGATCGTTCTTCCTCCATCGACATGTCATTCGCGTGGCTTTGATTCATGAAGCCTCGCTCATAAGTAAGCCCATCTGGAATTATTAGCCCGCCAATAATTTGCTCCACTCCTATTTCTTCTTTCGTGAATTTTTTGAAAGCTTTTTTGGGTGCATCTTCTTCGTCCATCACTTCGGAAGCGTCTCCATCATTTTCTATATTATTTACTATGTCTTCTGGAAGACTGTTACGTCGTTCGCGACTCAAGAGAACATTGCGCTCCTCATCTAATTTATTCGCACTGATATTAGATGAAATTATTTTCAAAGCCTGAAATTCCTCAAAATTTTTCGCTTGGGTGTTCCCATTGTCTGTACTTGCATTGTTTTCTCGTTCATCTCGGACAGGTCCGCTGGTGTGTGAATCAAGCATAAGGATTACTTCATGCTTGCCTTTACTCACTTCCAAAGCGTGCTTCAACAGGTGATTCAAGTACTCTTGACGTTCCTCAGAATTTTCATAAATGAATTTTTTCGTTGTGGTTCCATTGAATTTGAATCTTTTCGCACTCGCATTATCTACTTCGACGTTTTCTTTTTTCAACGGCTTCTCAGTTGAACTCGTAGATACCGTCGTACCACCAGCAAGCTCTGCTAACTCATCCAAACTGTTTCCAATGTGTATGTCAGTTTTTTCAGCGGTATAGCCTATGTATTTTTCTACACTTTCAGTTATGTGGTTTTCGCTTTCATCATCCGCTTCCAGCTCAGTTTTGGGAATTGTCTCAATTGCAATTTTCTCTTTCGCAGCCGTGAAAGTTCTTGAGCCTATTTTCTTGTCGGCTTCTTTTTCATACTCATCAGAACTCACATCATTGTCGACCTTGAGATTATTGAAGTCTGTTTGTGAAGGCATCTTCACTTGAGTCTCTTCAAACGAATCTTCTTCTCCGATCCAAGCACATCGATGGAGATTTTCAGACCCGCGGAGAATCATCAATTGTCCACCGTCATACCTGCTCTCCAAAAATTCAATAGAAAATTCAATTTTATTTTTAATAAAAATTTAAAATGTTTAAATAAAATAGGAACAGGATACATAAGTGGAGAAGGGATATCTTGGTTTTGCGAATAAAATTAACAAAAAATTTGATCCGATGCACATACAGATGCATTGGAAAACCATCGCACTTATGTCAGTTATCTGATGAAATAATTATGCGGTATTAATCTAACCTGGTGCAAGAGCTTAGCGTGACTGTTGAGCCTCCTCGAAGGTAGAAGCCCCAATATTCTTTTATGTCGTCCCTGAGTTTAAGATTTTTTAAAATCGTGAAACGGGACCGAGATGGTTTTGTCTCAGGAGTCTGGGCGAGCAGATAAGCGTTGAAGCTGCCATTCATGTGAACTCTTTGACCCTACGGAGATGTATAACATGAGCAAATTGGATATATGTTACTTCTTTAATTCTATTAGGAGTTTGAGTTTTCAATAGCTCCTCACTAACAACAGGAACATTTTCTACCCACAATCTAAACCTAAATAAACTAGACTTGAACAAAAAATTCTACCCGAATTTTTTAGCAACAGTAAAAACATTTATTAGATTTTTATATAGTGAAAACTCAAATTGGCTTCTCCGCAATTGCAATTCCTAATTCAGGAGTGATTAAGAGAAACTCAATAGGACTCCTGATGATACCAGCAACCGACCTGACACCAAACACTCGAGACACGTGAGCCGAGGAGACGCTGATCTGAAGGAGCCATGGCCAGAGTTTGGGGCGGGTAGCGCACCACTCGGATGTACAGGGGCACCACCACCAGCCCCAGCGGGATCAGCAGGGCGAACACGCACAGACGGATCACTCGGCGAGGTCCACGCAAAAGACTTGAATTCCCTGCAATAAAATAAGTATGTTGACTTTTGATAAATCTGGGAATTTGGCCGAAATTGTCTTGCTTCAAATAGGTGCGGCTCACAAAAATTGTATTCTATTGTATTTGTTTGTTCTATTTTCTTGTCTGGACGGTATCGTTGTAAGCAATCGGTAGATCAAAAGGTAATTTATCGGTATTTAATCGGTAGATCAAATAGTTTATTTATTTTATTTTTAAAATTAATGAGCAAGATCCCGGACAATTACAGCAGTGATGTTCATTCCTTCGTTTTAATTTTTTCATTACACGCACGCTGAAGTGGAATACAAATCTAAGTTATTTTAGGCAGTCGATTTAGTTGAGAAAAAGGAGCAATTTGTTCCACAGCGCTGCTTTATCAGACTTTCGAGGAGTTCGATGACTATCTACGATCTCTGTTTCGTGACCTCGGAGTCATTTATCAACCTGCATTTATCGGGACTCGGTGCATGAAGGCTTTCTTTTTATCAAGTGCGTGTTGTTTGAGTGGTTCACAAGTGTTAGCCTCACAAGGACGTTAGGAAAATTTTGAACAGGTTGTAAAAGACAAACTTGGATAAATGGAATAATCCCTTCATTAATTTGAGATTTAACTTCGTTAAGTTGGATGCAGTTTCGTGCTCAAGTGTTACAAAAAATTGACATGGTTGAAGTTGAACAAATATTAATTAAAAAATAATTCGGATAATATTCCATGCTGCTGCAATTTCCCTGAAAACATGGAAGGAACTTGAAAACACTGTGAGTGATTTGATATAAGAATGACTATAATTTTTATAAATTCCAGTTGATGATTGATACATGTACAATGTACATTACACTTAACCCGCATTCGTTCACCTGTAAGGTTCAGGTACACGAGACTGATTAACGATGGTAGTGGCAGTTCATTTTCATCGAGTTTAAATAGGTTGACGTTGAGGTGAATATAGGCTCAATTGAAGGCGCTCATGGGGCACCGCTTGCCGAGTGTGTATCGCTATGGATCATGAAACAAGATCATGACGTATAAGGCCCAAGACCTTCGCCCATTTAAGGAGGTTGTTATTCTTATGCGAATTTTTCGTCGTTCTTCGTGCCGTCCGTGTTTTGTGCTTTTTACATTTAAATAATGTGCCAATTAAAATGAAGAGTATAGTTGTGAAAACCTACAATGTCAATATTTCGGAATCTCTTTGCATAAATATAATTTTAAAAAAATGTTTCCAAAAACGTGGAGACCCTCAAATATTTCGTTATAAGTGTTGACTTAATGCAGCAAACGAAATTAGGGAGAATGTTAACGTCGGTGCTCATTCTATGAGTAAATGAAAGAATAAAGACATCCATGACCCTTGACATTAATTGATTATCGCTGCATGCTATCAAACGAAAGGATGAATAAAACTGGATAAAGTAACAAAAATACTAATTGAAACATCCTAACTTTATGTAGAAAGATACTAAAATTTAAAGCGCTCGTCCTCTTTTAACCAAATATCTCTGGTAAACTTTCAACGCAATCAATTTGAGTCTTTATTCGAAGTCTCTCAGCAAACACGAATAAACTCAAATTTAGTTTTTGTGATATCAATAACTAACAAAGCAGAATACGATATGGAAGATAAATAAAGAAGTAATATAGATAAGGATATTTCCAATCACTTGTTACATAACACCACGGATGTGATTAACACATAAGATGAATAGGATCAATATAACAGTGTACCTCAGTGATGGAATTACGGGTCACAATGACAAGTAAAAAGCATTCTTAATCGAGGTCACGTCACCGATGGCTTTAATAACTAAGTAAGAAAATAACTAGTCTAAAGTTTAATACTTCAATAATTAAATCAAATAAAGAAAAACATCAGTCTATGAATAACTGTTATATTCTAGAGATCACGGTTATAACGGTTATATTCAAGATTCAATATCGATCTTGAGGAACAAAAGTCGATGAGAGAGATATGATAGAAAAAATTTGTCAGTGTGCTCAAGATGTTTTAATGAGCAACAAGGTTTCTTATCGACCATCAAGATATTAGCTGACCTATATGCATGCATCAGTATATTAAAGTCCGGTGACACTAGTGACTATTGTCCATCCTACAGTCAAATGAGGAAGTCAGCCGGATCAGGAAATGTACAGAGGACGATTGTAATAAATTTATAGTTAATATCTATGCAAGGTCATGAAAATTCTTCTTTTAGAAGACTATAGTGTGGGTAGTTTAAGGACTTATGAGCTGTAAAACACATTCCAATAATTCAACGATTCACTTAAAAAACTTATACAACAGAAAACTGAAATTTGCTGTCAAAATAAAAAATGAAATCAGCTTTATACCATGCGAGTGCAGATGTTGCCAAGGGAGGTTCATTGATAAGCCTATCGGATTCGGCCTGTATTTTTTTAATGCCCATGTGCAAGCGTCGAGATCAAGTATGCGTTATCGATGCCCTGTTCTAAGAAGTGATAAGGGACTGATAAAATGATTGCATAGCTACTCTGCCTTGACTACAGACTTTTTCTGACGTTAAAAGCGCGCAGTGCAATCCATACCCATTTAATCGAATTCTAAACAACTTGAACAAATTCGAAATTTACATTTTTTTCGCATTCCACAACAAAGCACTGGTAATTGTTAGAAATTTTCGAAGAAAAAAAATTGAACTCTATAAATATTGTAAATTTTGTAACTTATTTTTAAATAAATAAATATTGTAAATATTTGTAAATCAGTGGCTAACGTCGCCACTGATAAGGTTTGTTCTTGAAAATTGAAATTTACTTAATTAATATGGACTTTGTTTCGTTAAAAGTCCGGTTATAGACTCGTTCTTGGTATCGCATTCAAATTTAATGAACACAATTTAGTGTGACTAGACCTCGTGAAATTTGTAATATATATTCGCTTGAATTATTTTACCATACTTGTTTTCTAAATATCATGATAATGCTAAAAGTACTCTTCCAGTTTTATTATCCACAGTAATATGTTTAATTAATGTCATTTCAATTCTTTTATTCCTTACATTATACTTTCCTCACGAAAAGTATCCATTTCACTGCGAATACATGGGAACGCGCATGTAAACTTCATTTAAACGTAAAATTTTGCAGGCTTAACATGAATTCGTATGTTATTTGTTGATTTCTCGCTAAAATTTTTTTTTGCCTCTTTGAATTTTTTAAATATAAATATTGCCTCATTGAAAAATTTACGTATTGCCTCTTTCAAAAATTTCACATTTCGTACAATAGCCCTCATAAGACTATTTGACAAACATTTTGTGAAATTCTAAGTATTTGTTGGACATTAAGAATAGTGTTGCAGACGAAGTTCTTTTAATTGTGATTCTGCTTGTCATTCATAAGCAGACAGGAGAGCTAAAAAATGAAAGTCATCGAATCACAATATCTCCTATGATTCATGAACAGTTTTAATTGCTAATTAAACCTTCAGTACTTGTATTTGTACTTACATTATGTGACGTATCTTGCGTCGCAGATTTTATTTTTAGAAGCATTAACAATTTAACGAACATTTTCTCTCCTTGAACATTGACATTTCTTTCTTATAAAAGCAAAAAGTTTTCATATAACTGCAAAATTCGAAATTTACGCAGTAGTTCTGACCATTTTTTGTCGTGCGCGGCGCCTACGTGGTTGTAGTTAACTGCTAGCTGCACTAAATAAAAAGAACTTCGAGCAAAAATAAGACAGGAAGGCTGGAGTAGAGATTGCAAAATCGAGTCTTGGGGTAGGGTTGTTGCTGAAGAGTCCAGCCCGGTATGGACTTGATAGATAGAATGAAGAACTTTTTGTAAATCATAGATGGTACACAAATGGCCGTTGAATATACGTCATCTCGCCTATTGTGACATGGCTTAAATTTTTAGCAGGGTATAACGTGGCGCCTCCTTAAACTTGTTTTTATGCCATGGCGAACAGAAGACGCGTCGGCATCATGCTGTTTCCACGTGGTTGTTTGTGGGTTTGACGTAATAAGTTTATAGACTTGAATGTTGAAAAATTCCTGGCTAAGTACAGTGGGTAGGAATTTATGGCTACACAGTACGGTGGCTACGTACAGAATGTTGAACAATTCCTGGCCAAGTCCAGTGGTTAGGGATGTATGGCATCACAGTACAGTGGCTAGGTACAGAATGTTGAACAATTCCTGGCTGAGTATAGTTGCTAGGAATGTATGGCTACACAGTACAGTGGCTAGGTACAGAATGTTGAAAAATTTCTAGCTAAATACAGTGGCGGCATTAGCTCTTGTATGCGATTAATCATTAATTTTAGTGTGTAATTTTCGAATTTTCCAAACTTCAATATGAAACGAAGTTTGAGATCCAACTCCGATAATTCAGTCTTGTGCTAGGGTTCCCGCACTGTGAACCTTACTGCTAGATAATCCTAATGTACTAGCACTGATTGGCTAACATACCTCATGATGGCAACGAACTTCAGCAAAATTATATTTAAAAAGTTGCAACAAAATTTTTTCTCGTGAAACCAAGGATTTTGTTTCCTTTACGTTTTTTTTTCTCTTGTAGAATCGATAGCTGGTCAAAGGTCGCAACTGTTTCTTGTGGAAGAATTCTACGTAACGTAAGAGGATGGTGAGTGAACGGATTCTGCCTTTACATAAATATCCGTACTGACTTGAGTGGATATGCATTAAGAACGTTGAAATTATGTTATGTCATAAGAAAACGACTGTAATTATTTCTGCATTGCTGCTTAGCGCTCCATATAGCGTCAAAAGCGCAGTATTCTTAAGTAGATAGAAGAGGTTTATCGTCGAGTTACGTAACGTTAACTTTACTCACGAAATACAGAATCGAGTTTTATCGTTGGAAAAACTCACCCTATCCTGTCTCCAATCCACCTGTATCGAAATTATTTTGTTATTCCTCTCGATGTTTCGTACTCTCTGTTGCATCTTTGAACGTCTGCCAGCATCTCAAGCGCCTCGTTGACGACAGTGTTTGCAGAGTATGCTTTGCACTCGTTTTGTTCTGCTTTGTGACCTCGAACATCCTTTACTTGGTTCGCATACACGAAGTTATTCCGATAAATTAGGAAAAATTGTAAGAGCATTAGAATGTGTAGTGTAATCAGGTTACGACGCAGATGCATGGAGCGCTAAAAGCTACCTATATCACTTAGATTTTTGCTTGATGTTACACTGTTATACGAAGGCAGTTCTTATTCCGATTTAACGCCCACATTGAACGTGCAAACGAGGCAGTTCCTACTTGAAGTTAGCATTAAACGAGCTAACGAGGCGGTTCCTACTTAACGTTCATGAACATATGCCAGATCAAGGACCTCGTTGTTGGTGAGCGCTTGTGTGACATGATTAATAAACGGTCGGCCTCTGACAAACAGGGCTCGCTTAGGAACAAGATTGTACCCTGTGGGAAGCAGCTACTCTTACAACGTTATCAATGATTCTTTGACGCGGATAGCGCGTACATGAAACAGAAAACTGTCTTGAACAATTATGCGTATATTGTAACACTTATTTGACAATTTTTGAAAAATTTTATGTGGCAAAAAAATCCAAATTGTAATTTTATTACGATTTTTTCACCATGTGTACACTGCAAAAGTTCATAGTAAATAAAATGATCAAACTTCATTTTATGTCCAGTATAAAAATCGCTCCAGCCGGATCAATTAAGTGAAATTTTCATCTCACAACCTTCAATCGTTGCTTGAAAAAAAAAATGGAAACGTACTAATCCACACGAATAGGAATATGAATAACTCCAACACTATACATGGATAGCATGAAAGCAAGGTTCATTAAAGAGCTAATCCACACTAATTTGACAAAAGTTCTATCAATGAAGTGGGATCCAGCGAATAATATTAGACACGGAAAGGGAAGTCTCAAAGCTGATATTATTAACGATGTCAATTTCGTGGTATAATTATGAACAAAATGGCCTTCGCTAGTTATTTTATAATAAAATAAGCTTAGATTACAGCATGAAATACCCAGCAACAAATTTGAAAATCGACATACATAAAGAAATTAATGTTAAAAATGGCAAAGTATGTTAGTTGCGAAAGAGTGCATCAGTGATATTTTTCGAGAATCTTATAATCGTGTGATAAGAATAAACTTGCTTTGGAAAATAAGGGAATAATAAGGGATAATAACAGAAGCTGCCGGTTCTAGAAAGGTGGGTTCTGTGCAAATACTTATTGATTCATGCTTCCGGTTTTACCCGTTGTTGTGTATAAATTTATCAGTTGGAATATATTGGCAGAACTATTTTTGAGCAAGTTCAATTGAAGACCAGAGAATGTATTTTTTCAACAATTTACTTGCTCGTTTTTTTTTTAGAGTCGAACGCTGTTAAATAATAATAACTTTCACATTTGCTAATACAGCGTTTGACTGTCTGAAAAAAATCAAACTCATTGAATTGAATTAATTTACTTCAGAGGAATTAAAAAATAAGAGGTCATTGACCACAAATCGTATACATCTTTGATCAGATTCACCCAAAAATTTAACTAAATTGTAAAAAAAATCTGCCTAATGCTGCGCGCAGTTGGCGCTTGAGCCACGTTCGACCCGACGCCCTTTTGGCACCCAAGAGTGAAATGACCACAATTGAATGCGGAACGAACAAATAAGCCGACCTCATTAGACCAGTATTCAAAACAATAGTTTAAAGTCCATTTAATTTACAGAGAAACCCGTTCAACATTTTAATATTAACGAGTTGTTTAATGTTCAATGCAGTTAGCCCATGACATGACATTAAAGGGAAAATCGCTCTAAGCCTCCAGCACTTCATGCTTCAATAACTTAGACGTACTGAGTATAACAGGGAATCAGAGGTAAAAATTGAATTAGATTCCCAATATTTGAAATTATTTCTTTTACGGAATTCCAATCAAATTTGAATAATTCAATTTGAAAACTGGGTGCTATAGAAAATAATTTCTTATTGAAGTGTATATTGTTAAATTTCAATCATGGAAACAAAGTTTGAGAAGAACGTAACTCAGTTTGTTTCTGTGTTTCGTTGAACAAATTGAAAATATTATAAATGACTCAAGCTAATTTAGATTCATTTGAACTTGACTAGCAAGGGTAGGATAGTAAACGAATAATTTGTCCCCCAAAAGCATTGTCCCTTACCTGCGAATTTTTTAGAGTTGATTGGACTATCATCATCCATGATGAGGAAGGATGGATGCTTTGGAATTTGTGCTTCATCTTGCTGTTCAATTTTCAGAGTTATGTGCTTCTTCTTCTTCTTATTTTTAGGGGGTAAAACTTCTTCCTCTTCGCAGTCTTCATTCGGACACAAATTTTCTCTCAATGGAACACTCGCTTCATCACAGCTATAATATTCCTTGCTGTCGGATAGGTGACTTCTATCTTCACTGAATTTACTTGGAGAATCAACTATGAGCCTCTCGACTACGTCATCACTGTCACCGCCCTCACCCGACACACTCACGCTCCCAATATCCTCATGGCCACTAAAATGGTCATAATTACTGCTGGTACAAACATGGCACCCATCGTCATAGTCGTCCCATCTCAAGCTCATGTTTGATAAATTATGACTGATGCTATCTGACGCTGATCCGACTGACAAACGCTCGTCATAATAAGAAAACGAAGTGCTCGAGACGCTTTCGGGAGATGCATGTCTTGATGGAGAATTCGAGGCATGTCTTGATGGAGAATTTGAGGCATGCCTTGATGAAGAATTCGAGGCATGAATCCCTGGAACAAAGAGGTTCCCCGCGTGGTTACCGGCGGCCATGACAGGCGTGTCGCCACTGCTACTCAAGCTCGGGACCGGAGAGAAAATTTTGGAGGAATTTCGCTGGCCTTTTTATGCATAAAAATAACTCGTAACCGCGAGACTTGCACTTCTCAGAAGAAACGCTGAAAGAAAAATAGCATGTGTGTAAAGCATTAGAATGACTTATGAGCTGACCATAGAAACACTGGAAATGTCAATGAGAGGTATTTCAATGAAAGTCTCGCAGTATTATTCATATACCCTTTCTGAATGCAAAAGGTTTCATTTAGCTCATTTCTACAACAGTGAACAAAAAGCGGAAGTCTCGAGAAGTATAAAAAGCGTGCATTAAACGTAATAATTCCGCATTATTTATTCCTAAAATTAAAGTGATGTTCAGTCGGTTGATGCTTCTCTTTTTCGCAACTAATAAAATATGAATTAAAGAACGAATATTTTACAAAAATTCACAAACTTTTTATAAAAGAAAACGCTGCTCATCCATCAGTGGGCTAAGCAATTCAGAAGCGGATTTTTATGTTCAATGCCTAGTTTTTCCAATCGCTTGACTTGATTTGCAATCCTGGACTCGTCCGCCCACTTAGATCTCTTGCCTGATTCGCTTGGAAGCTAAACCAGATCTAGAAAATTCTAACTAAATAGTCTAGTGCTCGAGGTGCCGAATCAGGGATGTAAAGGATGTAACCGCCTAGTTCCAAGACTGAAGGCTTCACTTTCAAGGTAAAGCTTGAATTTTTCTGGCTTCCAAAAATATACGATTGTGAGATCATTCGGACGAAGGAAATGATGAGAGATCAAACGGATGAGGGCAATGTCGAAAGACTATGCGGGTGAATGAAAGGTGGAGAGAAAATTCGTATGAGTTAAACTGTTAAAAGGTTATGAGATAATACGGATACGGGAAATGTTAAGAGAAGGAAGGACATGATAAGTTCATGGTTGAAGGGCATGTTAAGATCATTCAGATGAGCGGAATATTGCGGAAGTATCTAAATCAGAGATCATTTGGGTGACTAAAATATTGAGAGATAATTGAGATAGTTAAAATTTTATTGACAATGAACTCTAAAATTTTCTCAGTAGAAGCAAAATAAATATCATCCATTGTTTATTGGATAAATATTTATTTACACTTTAATTTGTACCTGTACATATATTCATTTTATTAGAGTATCTACCTGCACAGGCTGCACTATATTATTAGTACTAATATTCGTTAATTTTATCAAGCATTTTATCGTACCCTTAACGCCCCTCCAATAAAAATATCATGCTCATCTTGACTCTAACATCAACCGGGCATTATGTGCAGCATGACCTCCAAAATTACGATTATACTATCAGTATCATTCCTCGGAGAACTAAACCATCTCAATGATCCATGATTGGAGAGAGCCACACACACCACCTTCAATGACACTCAGGCTTTTCAAAGAGCATATAACAAATACCATATAATTAATTTTCCTTATTCTCAATTATCTTGAAACCTTGCAGCAACCCTGAGTTTATGCTAAATGATTTAGCTGCATAACCAACCGTCTAGATGCTCCTGTTTTTAGGATATCTCATATAATTTTCTACCAACTGCACTGCGCAACACCTTACCTCGACGCGTCAAAATACAGACTGTGCCTTGCGAGCCTCAATCAGCTGCTTTTAGCGACCAAGCGTCGCCGTGTCTACACTCTACACCAGTGCTACTCATGGTTAATCTTTCGGGTGCACGCAATCTCTGATCTTTATCAAAATCAAATATTTATTGCTTTAATCTCTGTAAGAACTTCATTATTCACATTACGAGTAAGGATTGGTGGTCAACGACCGAAAATAAATTTGCTCATTTTGATTATAGATTGGACTTAACGAAGATAATATGCCACATCCAAAATTTGTGTTCGAGTTTCAGAGAGAGAACACCAATCATAGAACAAATTGATCTTACGTTTAATTTTAAGACCACGTAGTTTTTCCCGCAGTTCCAGGCGTTGATAATGAACGTTGTGACGCATTTTGTCGTGCATGAGCCCTCAGCCGTCCTAGAAGGAAAGCCCATAATTAATATTATTCTTAACTGAATATTTATTTAATTCTGGTTGAATGAGAAAAAAATCTACGTTAGTACGATTTTAGTTAGATTAGTTAGATTTTCAGATCAGCACTGAATTTTACCAGATAAATAGGTCGCCTATTTGATGAAGAATTTGTAAAAATTTTATTTTAATGTTGATATGATGATAAACTGAATCAAAGACATTTAACTGATCCCTTTTGTGCAGGCCAGGAAACTATTTTACTTCATTTAAAGTTACTTACCCTTCCACTCCTCAGTTTAAAATTTATCTGTTGAATTATTAAACACTTGCCCATCAAATTGTCCATACTCGCAAAAATAGTCGAAAATTTCCATGTTCTTGTTCCATTTTTAATTGAAATTTTCATTGGTTGTAGGATTAAATCACCCGATGACGTCCACAGTGAAAAAATGTTATGACTTTCAAACATTTATCAAGAAGATAAAGTACAAAATTCTATGAGGTGAACTCCGATTTCAATGAAATGTTATTGGCACACGTGTGGTATAGCGATAAAAGCTGTTATCAGTTAATCGTCAGTTGCCCACATAAACGAAAACATCCTCATTTTAATGATGCTATTCCTACCCAAAATGTTAAGCAGACCAAGTACTTAAAATACCGTGCGTGCGGCATCTTATCTGAAAGCCTGTTGCTATGGCAATTACAGGTTGAAACTCGAGCTACACTCTTACTTCGTGCTCTTTCTTTAACAATGGATGTACTTTTTTGCATAATTATAAACTAACGACTCGACGCTCTATCATCTAATTTCCATCACATTACCTGTTTTTTACCTTTGATTCATGCGTACTGTAACCCTTCATCATATAATGAGTATTAGACTATTAGGCTAACGTGGAGCTATTCAATTTTAAGTAATAGCCTTGGAATACCTTACAGCATCGGTCGTTGGCACAAGCAATAGGCAAGCCACGTGAACATTCAATGTTGCACATACCTTCAGGAAAAATAGGTATGTAGTTATAGGAATTGAAATTAGTTCTGCTCATTCGCTTTTTCTGTCTGAAAATTAATCCCCTTTATTAACAGCAGTCTTTTATACCATATAATTACAACATTAACTATAATTTATTTACTTTAAATTAATTTTTACAATATGTTTTCATGTCGTGCGCAAATTCTTCTCAAGTTCCTTTATTGTGTAAGCATATCTACGTGAACTTTCTTTCTCAAAATATAATCTATTTTACCTCATTGAAAGTGATTCAGCATTTCAGATATCGTAAATGTTGGGTCCTGATATCGTCCGAATGTCTTAATCTGAACTTCCTTCAACCCTTTATCTGATTTGATAAGCACTATCTCTATAAGGGTATGTTTTCTATTCTATAGCATGCACAAAATTGATCTCGTACTTGGCATGGGCATAAATTGGGGTCGTCTTGTTGGAATCCATTTAACCGCGAAAGACAAGTTTTGGTTACACGACAACTTGTATTTCAACGCGATTCTCGTCTTTCGTCATCATTTAACCGCTTCTGGATGCTAAGCATGAGTAAATTAGCAAAAAATACACTTATTACTTCCAACAGTGTTTACAATATATCTTAAATATGGCAGCATATATTACAAATAAGAAATAATTTCCTAATTAACCCCATTCAATTAAAATTTAAAATAAATTCCTTAGGATAGATGCCTGCTCGCAATCGCAATATTCGTACCAAAGTCACTATCAAGTTTTAAACTGAATTAATGTGACTGACATCATTAAAAAATTCCACAAAATTTACTTCATAAATAATTTCTTCATGAAATTGTTATTCTGACCAATTCACTGCACTCACGCACGAGAAATACGCGGAGGCCGCAGATTGGAAGGAGGACCTCAATAAAAATCCAGTCCCTTGTGAAGAAGGAATCCTCATTCCCCATCTGTGGGAAAAGATAGAAGAGAGGGCAGTGGCCCCAAAGACCCCGAAGCCCTTTCCAGCCGTGAAATGGCAGTTCAAGAGCGAAGACCCCCGCCTACAGTCCCTAAACGGGAAAGTAGAATTTTGATACTTTTGACGATATCTGAGCGGCGAGTAACATCTTTTAAAAATTCTCCCTCTGCAACTATTTGACACCAGATCAATTCAGTACGAAATTTATCTTGGTCAATGCACACACATATTTATCCGAATTACTCAAATCGATAATATGAATAAATTTAAAGTTTACGGTAATAACAATTAACATGGCAACAAAATTACTATCTTTTCGTTTCTAACCTGAGCGCATAAACGAGGCGTCATTTTCTTGAAACAACAATTCTAACAACTTCAACTTGTAATTTTAACCATGAGCCAAGCCTTGCCAGCGAAATTATTCAGTACATCATTTAAAAAATCTTCGTATACTAGAAACTAGGTTTACTCAAGATCAATAATTATTCTAGAAGAAAGTGTTCTAACTACTCACACTGTTGACTCGTTTCAGCACAACTAAAGATTGAGGTACTGCAAGCGGGTGCTGTGTGTTACCAAACAGCACAAATATAATGACAGGGAGCGCAGCCGTGCACCACCAATTTTGTGCACCAATCAGCCCTGAATAGAACGCCTTAGACTCCTGCGTCTCAGATATAATTGAGGGTACAATTTGTCCCGGTATAAACGTATGAACCGGGACAATACTTGTGTCCCGGTAATTATGAAACGACACGAGACAAGTAGAAATGAAACGAGAGTTAAAGTAACGAGACGAGACATACCTCGAATAGTCGAGACAAAACGAGACGTTCTAAGCTAGCGGATTAAGGAATAACAAGTTAGCTCCTAATTTTTAATGAGCAGTTGCCAGTCATAGAATAGAATAGAAGTGTCGGCATTGAAGAAATATGCCCATCGCAGATGTTGCGACATTTGGCTGCCAAACTAATTTGTCAGTGAAATTATTGGGCAGATTTGGCGATGTAAGCCTGAATATTGAGTGAATGATGTCGTTGTCTAGCCTTTAACCGCACCTTAGGGCACGCACACAGTGGAAGCAGGTTTGCCCGCGCGGGCAACCTGCTCCAACCTGCCACAAGAATGAACATAGGATAATAATGTAAGTGTTCACAGTGAAAACCTCTACGAATAGGCTTCTGTAT